TAATGAATACCTTCCTCTGATGTTGACAAGGCTCACAGTCTGCTCACAGTGTTCATTCTGAACCTATTTGTAGCTGACTAACCTTCCTCAGGAAATTCCCTGTAATGGTTTTTGGCACTCCAGGAAGCTCTGTGTGGCCTTAGGAAATTCCCTGTAATGGTTTTTGGCATTCCAGGAAGCTCTATGTGGCCTATTTTATATCACTCAAAGGTTTTCAGATGCATCTGTAACCTTCCACTGTCCTCCTTTTGGCTCCCCTTCACTTTTGCAGATGTTCCCTGTGGGCCTTTTACCTATCGCTGTGATGATGGAACATGTGTGAAGAAACCCAACCCTCTGTGTGATGCCATTGTGGACTGCAAGGACCTGTCTGATGAGAAGCACTGTGGTGAGGAAATATAATTACACATCAGCTAAGCAGGTTCAGAATGCCACATAGATGCAAGCCATTCTCTCTTCCTGCAGCCACCTCAGCAAAAGCAACCTCCCTCCCTTGTTCCAGCCTCTTCTCCTGACCCCAGCCCCATGATGCCAGTATCTATTGCCCCATTCTACTATGGTAGTAGCAGCAGCAACAAGCCAGCAACCCATGCTGAGCTGTGAGAAGGAGTTGTCTTCTTTTTGTTCAGCTGCTCCCCATTTCCTTCAGGCAGAGGCATCAGGCCAAATAGAAGTGTTTCACATGCCAGGTCCTGCACACAGGCTACTTATTGGACAACTGTGTTGACTTACGAGAAACAGTGCCATTCTACAACACCTCAGCCAGAGAACTCACTCATGACTGCATGATACTGGCAAGGAGAGAGCTCGTTTTCATTGCCCTGCTTGGTATTTCTGGAGTCTCAGTAGGCAATGAAAGGAAATATTTGTGAGGTTTCCCCTGACAAGACAGTATTAGTACACACAAGGTACTTCCATAAAGGCATCTGCAAGCTGAAATTGCTACTGGCACTGGAATGCAGGAGAAGGCTGTGCTGGTGTCAGCTGGGACAATCACTTGGAGGGATTGTTTGCTAGAACTTTCCTAGACAGCATGTAAAGCAACTGCTGGCTTGGTGAGACAAGAGCTCAAGGGTGCAGAGCTCCCTAGCCAGTTAAGTAGCAAAGGAATGGCAGGCATGATGCAACATGTTCTCTTAAAAACCTGCTGTGTCTCCTTCTCTTCAGACTGCGGGCTGCAAGCCCCTCTCAGCAGGATTGTAGGTGGTACTGATTCTGTGGAAGGAGAATGGCCGTGGCAAGCCAGCCTGCAAGTTCGAGGACGCCACATTTGTGGGGGAACACTCATTGCTGACCGCTGGGTAGTCTCAGCTGCACACTGCTTCCAGGAAGAAAGGTAAATGGAGAATGGAGAGTGAGAAAGGAGAAGAATTTGCATTATTTTCCATGTCATATATGACAGGAGCCTCACTGTGCTTGTGAGAATGCCTTGGAGCAGCTACACCTCTTATCTGGTACCCATAACATGCTTACCCTGTGGCTTCAAGCTGGAGAAAATGGATTTGGCCTATGAAAGC